TGTTCCCATTAATAACATAGCTTCAAAGCTTTCTCTGTGGGAAAGAGGGATCCTCTGATGAGCAATTCTCTCAAAATCCTTCAGCTTCGTTTTCTGGTTTCAGACTAGTATGCCTGAATTACAAAAACTATAATTTCAAGAGAAGGGACTTTTTTGTAATTCTCTTATTTTGTAATTGCTGCTGCATATGCTGTCCTTGATACAGTTGACTTGACAGATCAAGGTAGCCTGGACATTTTAGTGAGGCACAGAGTAATCTTTGGTTGCTATACAAGTACCTGTACTTGTACTTGGGCTAGATGTAATCCTCTGGCAATTATTAAGAGAATGAAAATAGATTTTAGCTTGGGGCAGAGAGGATGAGAAAGGATGAGTATGTGTAATCCTGAATAATGAAAGGGAGGCTATTTTCTTATTTTTTAGAAAAATTATTTCTGTTATCCACAAAGTATAATATTGAATTGTTTGTACACTTAGCAAAAGGTAATTGTTTCAAATGATTTATGAGTAAAAGCATGAGGGTTTTTAAATTTTTGTTCCTCTTAAATTCACTATTTAAATGTTTTAAATAGGCTCTTCCTCATTATTGCAAGTTCTCTAAATTAAAAACTAAAAGTCAGCACATGTAGCTTTGCTATAATGTAGTTGCTTTATAAGGTACCATTGGAAAATTTGGACTGCATCCTGCCCACAGTTTAACATGGGGCTGTATAAGTCCCAGGCCATCAGGAAGGTTGTGGTAGATCTTTTGGCAGTGAGCCTCCTGCCTGAACTCCATAGCAAGGGTAGCACCATAAATATTTCAACAGAGACACCAAGAGGAAGCAGCACTTTATAGTTCTCAGTGCTGTGTTCAACTAAAGCCAGTTTGAAGTTACAAATAATATATTTTTAAAATATTTCTTCTAAATAACTACCAAATCAGTTGTTTTTCAGTGCTAATCAGCCACCAGCATCATCCATGGTTTTCTTTTTAGTCACTTTCTTTCTGTGGTTGTTTTCTTGCCCTTAGATAGTCCTACCTTCATTTTGAAGATGTCACAATAACTGTTTTCTCACTGCACGTTGCACTGTCCAGCCTTGGATTTATGATAATAGGATTGACAGCAGTTTTAAGGATGTTTTATAAGCCTTTCTTGAGTGAGCTCCCTGCTGCACAGCAGCTTTCAATCACAAGCAGGACATAGTTGAATTATTCAGATAGGATTTCACATACTTATTCAGTTCTGCCATGGAGTCAGTGACTGGCATGAAATCACCTTAGCAGTGGCTGCTATGACCAGGAATAAGGAGGTGAATAGGAAGTGTCACTCCAAGCTGGCTATCCTGTAATGCTTCATAGAGAAAGAAGCTTTTAGTAGTTGACCCTAGAGGGCTGAAATTCGTCTGTCTGTCCCTTCTTCCCTCCCTATCCCTGTCTGGATTGACACTGGCATAGGGAAAGCTTGCTCCCCTTGCGAGGTGGTGGTTAAATTTGCATTATGAGTCTCAATGAGTACTTGTTCTATCTCTAAGGCAGTCAGCTGCAGCTCTCAGCCTGCCTAGTGCTGCAGTGGGATGTGGCTTAGGCTCAAAGGGAACAGCTGTTTGCTGTGTTGCCTTACATTGATCACCTTTACAGATATCCAGCTTGATAACACTCATCTCTCATAGAAGGAATTGCTCCTCTTTTTAGCAGCTGGTGGAAAGTAGGCTCTGCAGGTTTGATGTAATATTGTTTTAAATTCATAGCTCTTCAACAGTCTTTGAGGCAGAATAGTAATTATTGATGTTTGTTTACTTAACATAATAGTCACATACAAATACTGCTTATATCCTGGCTGAACCTTTTGGGTTTTGGATAACTTTCTATGTTTATATTTTAACTACTGAGCTCGTGTTCTCCTATGGATGGTGCAAAACACTAACAATTTATTTCACACTCTACATGAAGAGGTTGTAGCAATGCTCCTGCCTCAGGTGGGTGGTTTATACACTTAATCAGCCAACATAAATTGCCTTGAACACAGCTCACTCTTGCTGGCAGCCAGCAGCAGGTGTAGATTAGATGAGTATTTTGTCTCAGCTGTTCTGTTTTAAATTAAGACAACAGAAGATCAAATGTAAAGCAAGGCACAGTATTAGTGTGATGCAAGCTCAAAAGGTTTATGCATTAAAATTATCTGGGACCAGGCTCAATCACATGAACTACAGCAGTGATGAAGTAGTGGATAGAATTTTCACTGAATACCAGTTGCCACTGTTCAGTTTGAAGAAACCATTTCAGGTCATAAAATAAGTGTTTTTTTTCTCATTACCTCTATATACTCACCTGCTGAGTTCATAGACAACTGTATCTTAGTACTTATCCCACACTCAACATTTGTAATGTGGGTTATATATAGATTACTTGGATTCTACAGCTTTTTCTCTTCACTGTGTTCAGTATGACTTGCTTTTCTCATTAAAAGAAAGCTATGGAATATTAATATTTTTTTTCAATTATTATTGAAATGACAGGTTTTCTTACTTCTCCTGTCATGTCTGACTAGAGTGAATCCTTCCTCTGTTTCCCTAGCAAAGCAAGGCTCCTACAACCATACTGTCTCCATAGGTACATGTTTATCCCTTATGTCTAGCCGCAGTAATTTTTTAACTTGTGGGCTGTTTTCAATTCAACTTGACAGAGTAGAAAAGATTCAAAGGCAGTTTGATTCTTCTAAGATTAGGAAAGATAGGGATACAAGAATCTGGGGAAATGGGCAGGTGCTCTGAGGAAGTATTTGCAGCATGACTGACTTGCCACTCCCATGGGAAGGACACCCTGTAAGGGCCTTGCCTGGCAAAAAGCTGCTGCTGGAGATAGATATCAACCATGAGATACCTGGAAATCCTAATTTCTGTCTGTCGTTCTGTTATTTTAGTCACCGTGTTCACATGAGTCAGAAAGAGTTGGAAAATCAGGCTGCCTGGTGGATGTTCTGCATCCATCCAGTTAACATCTATACAGAGACAAACCTGACTCTAGCTTCCTGTGACTCCTCTCCCTCTCTGCCTGTTCCCTCTCTCTCAGAGGAACTCTGTTCTCTCTAGCCTCAGGGATCTCTGGTATTTGTGTGGCTTAGGGTTTTTTTCCTCAAAAAACTTGCAGTATTCAGAAAATAGTAATAAATACTGCTCTCCATTTCACCAGAAGCAAAATGCCCTGAGACCTGTAATTCCACTCCCATGATCAGCACAGAGGTACTTGAAGTTCTCTTTAGTTTAACACTACTCTTTGGTTTAGTCATTGCTAAGGTATTGCATGTGTAGGAAAAGCTGTGCTGTGTAGAAAAAGCAAGGAGATAAAATTTTTAGGTCCATACATAAAGAGGCATTGGAAAAGTCAGCAGAAAAGAGTCCAGCTTTACTTGTGTTAAAGTACTGAAACAATATGTGAAGATAAACAGGGGTGGCAAATTCACAGGGTAAATATTTTCCCCAGTTATTAACAAATGCAGATGAAGGTGTTTAATATTCAAATGCTGTGAACACCATTTGCTCATTGTCATGAGTGGCATGTATTTGATAACACAAAATAAGCACCTCGTCCTCCACCGCTACTCATGCATGCACAATTCTTCCCATTTAATTCAGCAAGACTAATTATCTGAATTACTGACATTAGCTTGAAGCTATGGATTTGCAGATTGAGTATTGAGTCTCTGGCTTTCAGAACAACTCCTTTAAAGGAATTAGTCATGTCTAAGTACAACAGATCTGTCATATTGCATCCCCTGGCATTGTCTGACGTTTTGGTTGCAAAGCCAGCCTTGTGCAAGACTGTCCTCGTGGCAATAGACAGTGGTTATCCTAATTTTATGGCTCTGACAATCCTAAAATGGCTCATAAGGGTTGGGCAGTTACTTCACTAGCTGATAGCAGACAGTAGCTGATAGCACTTCACTTTGCCTTCCACCTCACTAATGGACTTTGTCATCCCCACTCCAGGGATGTCTACTGTCCATCTGCAAACCAGGCCCTGAACTACCTCCATTTTGGTTTAACTTGACATGCAGGCATGAAAACTGCAGTTAATGCACAGACAGATCACAAACCTCTGCCTTGACAGAAACTACACCAATTAGAGAGATGGGCAGAAAAGAGCAATACTTCAGGAACAGGTTCACAAGTGGCATGAGCATCAATGCCTGCAGAGTTGCAACTTCTCTGGGACCAGCAAGATGCTCAGCTGGAGCAGGTGCATCCTTGGAGTTTTAGTGCATATCCACTTAAAATAAAAGGCAATGCTTATCCTTACGGTCCTGCACTTTGCTATAAATTGAAGAGTTTCAGTAACTCTATCATGTCTGTGCTGCTACTGAGGAAAACACTGGAATTTTTAGGGTCTGGACCCCTAGCTTATCCAAGACTGACCAGTGCAGAGAAGGCAGGCAGCAGGGACAGGTCATGACTGTGTTCAACCATGAGGTCTTTAGTCTATATAGCACTTGTCAACCCTTATCTTTGAATGAACTGTTCATAATTAAGTAGTGTGACTAAAGATGTGAAATCCTACACAGCAAATACTGAACTTGCACCTCATTTATCTCTTTCAAGTGTATAATGAACTTTCAGCTTCAGCTAATGAATAATGGCAATTTCAGGGTCATTGTCCTACGCAGGGAAATTAATAACGACCTAAGAATAGTTTCATACCTAGAAGCATGGTAGAGATTGCCAAAAATCCAGAATGTGGATTTCTTTCTAGAAGATCCAACATTATCTTCAAATTTGTTCCAGTTACTGTACAGTCCATATTCACAAAGAATCCTGAAATCACAACATGAAGAAACTGCTCTTTGGGGATAAAAAGCAAGCAAAACTTTCCCTCCTTCACCTACCCTGACATTAGGTTACCATACATTTTGTTTTCCTCAACAGGTCATCTTTATTCATGCAGAAATTTTGACCAAGTTTGAAAAAGCTTTTTATTGTTAGCATTATATTAATAACATATAAAAGAAACATGGAAGCCTCATCCTCTCTTCAAAGATGTTATGAAATAAGGTACATTAATTAACAGGAACTAGGAAACTTCCAAGCTCAAGAACATAAAGAACATTTGTCACCAACATTTTCTTTATAGAAAAGGAGCCATGAATGTTTCTACCATTTCCCATTTCTGTGGAATAAGAAAAAACAACTCACAGTAATAGCTGTGAGTTCAGTTCATTTTGGCATTCAAGACCAAGTACAGAAGATTAAATGAGGAAAGAGAAGCATTGACATGAATGAATGTGTACTACAACACCTACTACTAGTACTTGAAAAAATGGAAATGCACTTGAACTACAGAGGTATACCTGAAGCAAATGTGCTCTACTTCTCTCATCCATCCAAAGTAACCGATTTTAATTTCTTATTCGCCTCTCAAAAACATTTCATGTTTAAGGAAAATACTAAGAAATAAAAACGTGGTTTTCAGTCACAGAAGCCGGAATGTGTGTCTTCAAACAATTTTTTCGTCAAAAGAATATTTTACCTGAACACCAGACATTTTAAATCCAACCTGCTAAAAGTTCATCGTTGTTTTCTTCAACTTATTCAATTTACCATGACTTACATCTCAGTTCTACTTATGAATATAAAATATGCAGTATTTATGCAGAGAATTAGTGTGTTAATTTTGGGTTTAGACCCAAGTGGGAGGAGATATAGTCATCTTATCAAATACATAACGGCAAATACATAACATGCCATATCCTAACACGGCCAGATACAGGATGTGTAGGATTTAATAGCTTGTTGCTGTAGGAGAGTCTCAGACTGCTGTAGATGTTCCATGTAGGATCTGATGTTGTTGCTAGAAAAGATGGAATAAATTACTTTTAGAAAAAAAAAAAATCACAGAATTAATTAAAGATCCTATCAATAGGTGTAGTCTTCAGATTTGCCAGCTTTTGCAAATGTTTTCTTCTGGAAGTACAGCCCCTGAACCAGATTCCTGCACAGGTTTTATAGGCTTTCCATTACAGAACTATCAATAATCAAGAAAAATAAGGTTGGAAAGAATTCTTCTATTTTTCCATAATGGTCTTTGTAACTTCTAGCTTGATGCTTCTTTGCTACTATATGGTTTCTCAAAAACTCTAGATGTCAATTCCTGTCACATTAGCACTGGAAAGTTTATTTCAGTCTGTGAGTTAACTAGCCTTGCTTTGAAATCATAACCATATTTCAGTGGGAGTGCCTGCAAATGTGTTTATGTAAGTGGCTTTAATCCTGTCATACAACAATCATTAGGATTATCTTTCTGGAGGCATAACTCATCCTGGAGTCTGCCTGGCAGCTGCTGCAATCACAGCCATCAGGCACATGGATGCACAACCAGTAATTAGACAAAGGGCTTTTGTCTGTCAGGAATTTTTCTGATGGGAAAGACAGTGAGTTTTTCTCAGAAAATTGAATAAAGTGTCTTCAGGTAAATTTGTCATAAGGCAGAAGTGACTGCTGTTATCCACCCATATCAGTATTAGAAATTGTGAATGAATAACCTGGTGCTTCCTTCCAGTTGCCCAAGGGCTCCAGATGAAGCCTCAGCAGGAGGAAAAGTAAACTATAGCTTTTAGCTATTCTCTCCTACTTTGTTTCTGCTCAGAGTAAGTGAAACTGGTGTCACCTTTCAGGTGAAACAGTCCTGGAAAACTTACTCTGAGAGTCTCCAAGTCAAATTCCTATCTTATTAAAAAAAAATATTTTCAAAAGCAGCATTTCAAAATGAAACACGTTTTCAAAAAGAAAGGTACTTTTAAGTCAATAAAATTCAAAGCATATTCAATTCAAAGTATATTAGAAGTTTACCCATTTTCTCTTCCTGGTTTCAGTCAGACTGACAGATTGCTGTCTTAGTAATTATTTTAAGTATTGAAACTGTAGATTTTTAGTTCTACCTGCTCCTTTAGTTCTACCATTTTTAAGGACTGCAGTATCTTCTCAGGAAAGGTGCTCCACAGGAATAATGTGGGTATTGTGCATGTCCAGCTAAATCATTTAGTAATTGTTCCCTAAATTTGAAAACAAATTTGTTCCAAAAATGTGTCCAATCCTTAACAATTTCTCTGAGACAGTTTGCAACACTTCGTTTCATGTACTCCTGTGCCAATCTATAAATATTGCTTTTACCAACTGCTATGTCTCATTCTCTGTTTTGTTCTGCTGAGATTTTATTTCACACTGAATATAGTTTTGCTACTGAAATAGATGGCGTTTTTTATCTTTTATTTTTCTCCTCAGGAATTGCTTTCTGTCTGCTTTTTAAATCAACTCCATAGGAAGCAGTTTAGTTTCTGTGGACTTTTAAAAGGTTATATATTCTTTTAAGCCCTTAATGAGCTTTTCCAAAACATACTTAAAAAAGACTCTGCCACAATAAAATGACCACATTTAAATAACCATTAAACTCAGACAGCAGAAATAAATCTTCCTTAGTTTTTCAAGATACAATTGGGTTTTTCACTGTGTCAGGCTATGACACTATAAACCAATTGTCAGAAGTTTTTTAGGGGCCAGTTTTACTTACTCAGGTACACACAGGCTCCGAGTCTATGAAATGCTCTGTTGAGAAACCCCATCGAACCCAGCTGTCGAAGGATTAAAGGCATAAGGGTCCAAGTCCATGTAGTATTGTGCTGTTTCCCTCAGAGCTGCCCATGATTCACTAATCTGAAGTAGATCAATACAGAAAGGAATATTCTGAGCTTTAATACTAAATAAATGTTCTCTGTGACTACTGAGCAGCCTTGACCTTGTTGATAAATCAGAAAAATTTCCTCCCATGACCCAAAGGATGTATGTTACACAATAATTCCAGACCCATGCTTTCTTTTTCTCAGTAGGTGCTGCATGAGGAAGGAGATACCTGTTGAGCCACAGTATATGCCCACGAGTTCTGGCTGCTGCCTGAGTCCCAGTAGCTCGGAGAATATGGTACATGTCGTTTGAGCCGCAGGAACTGATTCACTGACTCTTCTGTCAGAAAGGGTGCTCCAAGGACACTCGAAACAGAAGCTGATAAATATTTGTAATATCATAAAAATATGTTCGAATGTGCACTTCAATAATACGCTTATATCCACAGAACATGGTTTTGAATCTGTAGTTTATTTAATAAAAATCAGAGGTGGTCCTACCTTAGATTCACAGAAAGAAAATTTATTTTTAGGCCTGAAGTTAATAAAACAAATGTTCTAAATCATTATTTTGCTGTTGAATCTGAAGTAAATAAAGTTACAACTTAATTGAGGAACTAATTTATTTTTAATGCAAAATTTTATTACAAAAATCCTCTTAGACTATAATTCACTAGTCTCAGGTGTGCTGAGAGCCTAAAGTTTTTTAAAATAACACAAATCTAAGAATGTATCTATGGTTTCTGACCCTCCTGGTTTATATGTGATATTTACTCTCATTAGTATCAACACAGAAACTGCATGCTTGGAAATTAATTTCCGAAGAGAAGATATTGCACTTCTAATCTTGTAATTGCATTGCTTCAGATAGCTTCTGAGGTCACCATAGATGTAGGAGGAGTCCTTACAGATCTTGAAAAAAATATTCTTCAGAAGACAAAGGTCAGAATTCCTCTTTAGCTTCACATGAAAGATCCTGGTACAGAAAAAAACCTTTTCTTTTTAGTCTCAAGTGTTTGAGACATAAATTAATTCTGGGAGGAATTAATTTGGGGCTGAAAGAGTCCAAAATAGCATGTCAGTCCAAATCACACAATTTTTAATGAACCACTGATTAAGATGGAGCTCAGGTCCATCAACTGAGCTGAGGCCAGTGTCTGCAAACAGCTGTGCTCCAATTTAGTCAAGTGGGTTTAAATGGACACTTGAGAGCGACCTGAACATACTTGGAACACATGGGCCAAGAACCTCAACCGTTTTCTAATATGTCTTAGAGTAGGAGCTCAGCAGGGCAATCTATAACCTCACTCACAGCTCTCTTATGCCCTGATTCCTAGGGGAATTTCTAGGGGGAAAATATAACTGGGAGTATCAAATGTTTGCTTTCATATGCAATTTCAATTGAATTCATTTCACTTGTAATTATTGCTGGCTTTCCTGATCATCCACAATATTGTTGCATTGTTGCATTTTGGTTTTTTAAATAGAAGAAAATGTTTGCTGAATTCATATAAGTAGAAGATATGTGAGCTAGAGTGTTTGCCGGTCCCTTTCACTTTGTTTCTTTTCAGTGCCAAAAATGCTTAAAAAGAAGATGAGGAAGAGTTTGGTTATACAGTAATGAACAAAAAAAAAATGAGGATAGTCGTAATCTTTGCTCTTATTACAGACATCAAATAGTACTTTAGAAAAGTTACTTAGCAAGCAATCACAGTCCCAGTAGTTCCTTGCTACTTCAGTTTCTTCATATTCCAAGTTATTATAATCATAAAGTAGAGGTAGAAGTTTTAGGGCAGGGAGTTTTCAAGGAATACCATCTCCAAAAATGTTACCAACTCCATGAAAAAAAGTAAGTTCAGACATTTGGTGGAAGGCTGGGAAAGAAGGAAATATATTTCATGCATATGTCTATTAAGCTGCTATACTTGTATTCTAGAGCTGCACAAGAGAAAACTATGCCTGTACCAAATTTCAACATTCCTCTGGCAATTTACTATTTTCCAGTAGAAAAATGTCTGAGCTGTTGATTTCTCTTTAGGGAATTTGGGGTGGTTTTTTTTGTATTAAATATTTTGTAAGCTCATGATTACATTTCTGGACTGAAATAACTGAACTGGGATCAGAAACTGACTCATTAAAAGGCTTCCATTTTCTTTAAATGTACATATAGTTAGTAAGGGCCATTAAACATTACATTTTATCACCAATATGTGCTCTGGCCCTCCAAATTTGAAATAAGCTGAAAAAAAAGGACATTAAGCAGCTCTGCTTCTTGTAGGTTTTTTTCTTGCTGCCAGCATCTTCAAAAATGATCTTGTCATTCCACTGGTGGGACAGTGAGGGGTTATCTTAGCTACTGTGGCACAGAGAGCTGCTTCTTCACGGTATTATATGTCAATTTTTAATAGATAGCCTCCTCTGGCTGCATCTGTATCCAACGAGAAATGCCACCCCTAACTAGGCTAAGTATTCACTTTGATTGAAGTGCACTTGCCTGCTCTGAGGAGAGGTAGGTATGCCAGCACTGCTCTTGGCTTCTCTTGTCAATGCTGACACCCAGTTCTTATTCTTTTCTAGCTGCTATTTCATTTCCTGGGAGCTGTCTCTGCAGAACTTGTCCCCAGCTGCTGGGGCACTCCAAAAAGGCAGAAGTACCAAGAGAAAATCATGTAAGAGCCTTTATATATTACCTAATCCTTTAGGCTTATCTCATTCTCTCTTTGTCTTGCTGTAAAGATCACAATAAGTCTCTGAACATGGCAAACTTCACTCACCTCTGGAAAAACTCCAGCGAGATAATTTCTAGCATAACCAGAATCAGCCCTGTTGGTCTTTCAGTGTGGCTGCACATTTGCTTGTGCTCTGGCAGAGCTCAGAGAAAGCAAGGTCTTCACTCAGCTCTAATGTAGACCTGGGGTCATCAGACCAGCTGTCTCTTCTGAATACGATGCAGAATTTTCAGCAAATGAACTCAATTTGCTTCAATTTAAGCTTCTTGGACTGGGTGTAATTTTCCCCCTCCTTTTGAATAGCTTAACAAAATATTGTGGAAGGATTTGCTTTATAAACACGGTATTCCTGAAGGAGTGTATCTTGTAGAAGATTAGCATACAGACTGGGAGATTGGAATTTCAAAGCATCTGATGTGAGACTAGAGGGGGTTAGGAGCAAGTGGGTGAATGGCTCATAGTGCATAAAGTTGAGCTGCAAAAAATGAAGAACTTTGAGTTGTACTGAAACAGTTAACTCACCGTGAAGAGCAGCCAGACATGTTGTATTTTTTGTGTTTTTTTACTATTATTCAATACTGTTTTCCTCTCTTAGACAAATACATTATTTGAAAAGTACTTTTAGATATAAATGTCCCAGTGGGAAAATAGGAGGAACATGTGTAGAGGGTGAACTATTGCTGAGGTTATGTCAGCTGTTACCAGTTAGAGTGTTTCCTTCCATCACCTCCTGAAGATTCACTCCTCAGTGTTCTCACATGAAAAGCAAATTATACAAAAAAAAATTGGTTGTTTTGAGCAAGCAGATGCTTAGCTCATGTAATTATTGAGTTCAGCAGATAGTTTTGTCTATCCTGTGCACCTAAAGACATTGACCAGACGGAAAACTGTTAGTAGTCATTATTGCTACCATGCCTTCTGAGCATCTGATTTTGCATTACTATGATCTGGTATTAAAATTGAGGAGAGATGGTGATACAACCTTGCCATCTTTGTCAAAAAAGAAAATGTGCACTTAATCCAGCATTGAGTATATAAAAAAGAAAAACCAAACCAATGACAAAAGCCTGATTATGAAAAGGCATATCAAATATCTTGGAATGTCCAAGTAATAATAAAATATATCACAGCAAACTGCACTCAAAATAGAAAATCAACCTGGATACATTTTAAATTACTGTGCTTTAAAATCTCTTCATCCTAGACTTGAATGGAAGCATATTTCTCTTTACAAGGATAGATTTCTAGACAGCAATATACTCAGCTGGGTGCAGCCACAAAATCTTCCCAGGAAGACATCTTTTTCTGTCAGCTGAATGTGCAGTGATCCACTTCATCACACAATCAAAAAGGTGAGTATGGGATTAAGTTTTGACACATTTGCCTGCTTAGGGACCTTTTTAATTGATATACATTTTCTTTTGTAGAAGTTAAGTAGCAAAAGCCATTGTATACTTAGTAGTCTGGGGAGAACAGGCAGGCCTCAATTTGCACATCTAATGGCAGAGTTTAATGATAAGAAGACAAATCTTCAAGCTTGCCTTAGTACAGGATATACTTCTTCTTCCACTATCTACCCCAAAGCCTGTTTGTTTTAGCCACATCAGCACTATTTTATAGGTGGTAAGGAGCAATCTCTAGGCTTAGGATCAAAATTTACCCCTGGTGTGCATCTACCACAGGGAAAAGTGCTTTATCTCTGATTTGTTGTGATATTTGTAAAAAACCTGACAACTATTTAGCAGCACTTCATACACTGTCTGTGCACACTACTGTTTCTTCCTAGTTTCTGAGGACCTGCAAGTTTCTGACAACTTGAAAACATATTGCTTAACTTAATATCAATGTAATTTAAATGTCAAAATTTGGCAATTGCCCTGGCTCCTTTCCTTTAGGTCTAATAACTCTTCTTATTATTGGCTATAGTGACTTTGGTCAAAATCTCAGCTCATGGAGGTCAGGCTGCCAGTCTTATCAGCTCTTTAGGACAGAGCTTGGACAGAGGCTAAACCTGGACAGAGCTAAACTTCAACCTTGCTGAGGTGGCAGGTGCTGACGTGTTAGGAACTTTGAAAAGTAAATCAAGTCTGCAGCTCAGCTGTGTTTCCTAAGACTAGAATGAGCCAGAATGGACCACCTCCCCACCATGTTTCAGCTATCTGACTTTCTAAATCTAAGTTCACAAAGACCATAGAACTCAGTCTGAGGACTCAGAATACCACAGTGCAACAGCTGAAAAGAATGTGGCAGCAGCTGCTTCTCTCCTCACTCAAGTATTTCTCTAGATTATGTGGCATTCCATGGAAATCAAGACATCTGTGAGTACACTGCATGAAGCAGCTGGATTGCAGCAAAGACAGGCTTGTCGATTCTGCAGGCCAACTGTGGCCCAGATATCACCTTTTTTTTCAGTCGAAAAAGTATAATTGTATTAATGTCTAACACCTGCACATTGCTTTTCAAATTATTTTTTAAAATGTTTGTGTGTATGTGTCAGGACTCATCCCCGTATGGGCCACCAATTGTTGGCGTCAGTGCTTGGAACCAATCTGACTGTCACCATCAGTTTATCATCTTACTACAAAACTTTCAGACTTTCTCTCTTTGAGTTCCCATGGGCAGCTCCTCACAACACTGACTCCTTTACTCTTCCTCCTGCACAACCAGCTGACTCCTTCCTGTCCCTTGCATGACTGCCTTACCTGTACTACTCTGCACAGCAGAGCCTACAAAATCCTAACCTGCTTTTTTGTAACACCCATCCTTATTGGACATAGCTGTGACCTATTAAGGGCAGGCCTTTTCCTACTCTTTAGTAGTTAGTACAGCTGCAACTTCTCAGGGATGAGATTGCCTTCAGCACTCTCTATTCTCCTACAATCCATCCTCCCACATGTACACAGGCTTTGTATCCTGGAGTGTTTGGTAACAAGCCTTAGAATAGAATTAAATTAGTCAGATTTGCTAATACCTGTTGACAGCAAGAGTTAAAGTCACTGATTAAGTGCTTCAACTCTTTGTATATCATCCAGTCTTTGAAATTTTGGCCTTATCTGTTTCTATTTCAAGCTTCAAGTAAAATAGATTTTATTCTTTGACAATTCCTAATTTCAAGAACACAAAGAGCTCTCTGGTTCAAGAGATGTCATTAACAATCCTTAGAGCTATAGCATCAGCCTCATTCCCTCATCAGCAAAGGCAGAGAGAGAGAAGTTACAGACACTTAATGCAGAATTAGCTATTGAACATATTCAAGATGTGTGATGATGCCAGGGGTCAGGAAAGTTTCCAGCATGGGTAAATAGCAAGACAATTTGGCAAAAATCCTAGATAATCCTAGGGAAGGAGCTACTTCCACTGCAGCAAAGTATTAGAAAAAGCACCAGTCCATTGGTCCACTCAGTGGGTCCTGCTGAGATTTCCTTACTACATCCATTTGTGGCAAAACACCCCCATCAGACACCTGAGAGACTTCAGCAGTTATCTCAGTGCCAAGACATCACATTCCTACCTCATCCCTTGCAGCTGCTCTCCAGAAGCCATAGTAAAAGGTCCAGAGAGCCTATTCCAAGTGCTGTGACCATGGTTTACTATGAGGAGTGATTTATAGCAGCTGAATTGATGGCATGAAGAAAAATAAGATTCTCACAACAGTCTTATAGTCTCTATTTTACTTCACCACCACTTTAACTGTTGCTGAAAGGATTTACAATTAATGAAAAACTGAACTGATTGTGATCAATTAAATTTTTAACAGCTCATTAAAACTACTAATAAGTAGTTCTGCATGTATTTTGAATAATCGAAACCTGGAAAAGAGGGTAAACAAGACAAGAGACATAAAAGAGAGGAAAGTAAAGTCTTCCAAAAGGAGGGGCTGCAAGCTGCTGCACTCCCAGCTTGGCCTTGGTGACACTATTTGTGCTATAAATGGCCTTCAATGGAAAGGAGGTGAAGTTCAAAAAGATAGGCAAGTACTCAGAAATTGTACCAGTTCAACTACAGATCAGGAAGGACAAATATGGGGAAAAGGTTTATAGGTGAGCTCAAACTCGCCGAAGAGACAAAGTCCCTTTCCATCTCCTTATTTCCCTACAGAGCTTCACTGCAGCCAAAACTCAGGTTCATATGGCATGGAAGTGAATTCAAACCATGAGAGATTATACCTGACTGTGGTCCCAATTTACAAAACATTTTTCAGTGATCCACAATTAATCATTGTCTCCCTCATTCTGCCTTAGCTACTCACATCATGTATTTACCGCATGTATTGGAGCACTCAAATCTAAGAAATGCTTTTAATGCATGCATGTGGATAGACCATCTTATCAAGATGCAGGCAATCACTTGGGAAGTCAGCTGTCACTTACTGCCTGCCTGGTTAGTTCTAATTTTGTGAGAAACAAATTAATCCTGCAGCACATGCATCACTGATCATTGACTGTACCAGCGTGTGCTGCTTTGGGAAGAGCATGTGGCAGCCCTGCCCCACCCATTTTCCCTCTGGTCCAAGTTTTACAGGTTGAGTCTTGATTGTAGATGCTCTGGTTACACAGTGCTGTGAAGGACCAGCATCCAGGCAGACCAAGTGCTTTAAAACAATCAGTCTCCTTAAGAAATTCAAGCCAGGTAATCCAGAAATCACTTGTGAAATAGATTATTTTGGGTCCTTATAAAGGCATGTGAAATTGTTTCCTACAAACAATAAATGTTGAGATAAGAATAATATTTAAAGAAGATTTTGTGGAAACAGCATCAAGCTCTTTTTACAATTTTAACAGTTCAGGAAATCATCCTGTAAGAAGGCCTTTCAGTCAGAAATGCATCCTTCTTACTTATACATGAGCAGTAAAAAGCTCAAAAGTAGTCACGAGGAGCAGAATCAAACTATATTTCACAGAGTGTTCCATGCAATCTTGCAGTACTCTCTCTTGCAGCACTCCCTCTCCCGTATGTCCCTGCTGCAGTGATTTCCAGTTAATTCTCTTCCATTGGTGCTGTTCTGGTGCTAACATAGGATTTTTTGCCAGCTGACTATTTAACAAGCATGAAGAGAATGACATGAGATAGGATGCCAAGCACGTACCTGTAAACAGCAGAGCAGACACCAAAATTTGAAACATTTTCCGAGCCATGGCAAATTACTCAGAAAGGGTTTCGTTTGTAAAGTGAAGAGAGTGATACAGTTTTATACTTTGCTATCTTTAGGTTTATAAATCATTTACCAGATACGTGTAAGGGGTTGGTTCAGGCAGAGGGCAGGGTACAATGTTTAGTTCAGATTTGTCCTATATGCCCGTTTGTACACTTTGGACTTTGCAAGCTGAGTCTCTAATGAGCCATAATGGCTCACTATTGTATGGATGGATTTACTTCTTTTTAAGTTTTATGATGCAAAATAGCACATCAGGCTTGTTCTATGAGCATTTAACAGGTAAACTTCAGTCAATCAGTCTTTTGCATGACTATTTTCCCCCTCATCCTGGTGATAGGCACAGGCAGTTTATAGTTTGGTTTGAATACAGATGATGTTAGAGTCTACCTGCTCTGAGAGCAGGGGCAGAGTATGCCATTTATTTCAGATGCATACTGCTTGGGTTAAGGAAATAAAGCTATAATAAAATTGACTAAAAAAAGCACTGAGCAGGGAAGGAGGGAAGAAATTTGGTTTCTGACCTGAGCCAGGCAGAAGTCCCAGGGTGTCTTGTTGCCTCCTGCTGGTGTAAGGACTCTGTAATGTGGGACACTATGAGTTCATGCTGCCTTACCTTTCCCACCCATCCAGCTAGTTGTTGCCTCTTATATACAACTCACCTGCTGGCAGCAGCCATTGTACTGCAGAGCAGTTTATCTTTGCAAGCTCACCTACACCGACGATATGAGAGCAGAGCAAAGCTGAGCTCTGTCACATGTTGGCATGCTTAGATCTGCAGTCCATCAGCACAGGCTGGCGTGTATTCCGAGATCTTCACGTCAGGTAATCAGACCCTGCTGACGTTACAGGTCAGGGACCAGGCTTCCTGCTGATGGGCAGAAGTGCTTCATCTTCATTTCCACTATCCAGTCTAGAGAGTGCAGGGAGTAAATGTTTGCTGGGAAGAAAAAGAATATCGAGTTATGTAGTTACAAAGCCTAATAGTTTTTTATTGCACACCTGTGGGTAGGAGGGCACACTATTGTGAGAGACAACTGCTCACTTTGAAAATTTAAAAAGGTTTATTAAACCTTAACAAAAATACAAAGGACTACATAAGGGAAAAGTTTCAGTGCTGGAACTGCCCTCATGCATACCACATAACCAGTTAATCTTCAAGATGGATGCAAAGTCTTTTATACCCCTGGGTGTGGCATCAGCCAGCCCAGCCCTCCCAAAGTCTGTCAGTCAGTTCTTCTTGGCCATTTATCAGTGGAGACTGCTTTCTTGTAACTCAATTGGAGGTCAGGTGTTGCCATGCTGCACCCCCTGAGCAACCCCTGAGCTTTTCCATTCCCCACTGCCCCATGCCAGGGACACCTGTGCAGCTTCTGTGTGCCTGTCCTGGACAGCCCCGGCTGTGTGATGGCAGCAATACAGGGGGAAAGGGAACTGTGGGGAGAGCAGAGGGCATCTAAACTACAGTAACATAACTGTACATCACTAAAGCCTCTCTTAATATTCACACAATAGTTATCTTTTAATTGGGAGAGCCAATCATCTCATTACCCATCTATAACAATATTGAACAGCACATCTAACAATGTAATCCCTAACTTTGCCGTAGGTCATGTCACAAATTTTGTATTATTTTAGTATTGTTCTAAAAAAAAAAAGAAAATTAATCCATCTACCCCGGTAGCAAAATAAATATGGAGCAGGTGTTCTGCATTCTGGTGCCATATTAACAACAAATATTAATTACCCAAACTTATCATCACCAGTTTCCCCACCTCTGAGCTACTATACTAAATGTTAGATAATAGCCTTTTTGTGGACTAGAAAAAAAGATGTAATGACTGGGATATTTACTAATAGGTGACACAGAACTCTAGAGAAATGTAGATCTCCCAGAAATTAGTTCCAGGAAAGCATACAAGTTATCCTTTCACCTCACAAACTTTGTGGGTCATTGCCTCTACCCTTCCACACTTTTCACTTAAATGACCCTGCATTTCTATTGCAGCTTTCCTCCTACAGGTTTTTCCTCACAGTTCCTGATATAATGATTGGAAGACCATGTTGGTGTGTCATTTTATATTTATTGCAGTTATATCTTTAGCATGCAACCTGCTCACAGAGGTGGTCTCTGCTGGTGAAATGGCACAGGTGAAAAGAGCATCCAGCAACATATTACAGGGAGGCATGCTTGACTGGCAACAAAGACACAAGTCACCTACTCCTCCTATTTCATCTTAGGAAGTAAGAGAAGCAGATGAGAAAGTTTTTTCAGGAGTAGGAGTCGAAAAAGTGGTTAAACAGTTAGAGACCATAAATCCCAACTGATTCTGAGTAACCTAAGTCCAGGCTCTCAGAACCTAAAAACAAACTTGCTCCCATGATTTCCAAATAAAACCTGGAGAATATGACTTGTCTCTATCCTTTACTGATGAAGCCTTGAGTCCGTTATAGGAAAAGTCCTCCCTGAGAGGCACAGAATATCTTCTGGTAGGGGGGACATTGCAATGCCTGGATTTGGCTCTGAGTTCAGAGCATAAGGCTTTCTCTGCTGTAGAATGGAACAGTGGTCAGCCAGTTAGGCTTTGATAGAAGATCTGGGAAGCAGCTAAATTACAGGTTGCATGTCCCCTAGCACATAGAGATCCATGACACCTGAACACTCCTAGTTGTCCTTTGTTTCATCTTCTATCCTGCCATGTTTGCTTCTCGACTGTTTCAGGCCTTGCTCTTGGCCCACACTGTCTTGTGTAGGCTGCCCAGCTCTGCGTTCTTCCCCTGAGACACATCTTCCTTCTTTTTGTGTGTTTTGCAACTTCACATAAAAAAGACAGTATGCCTGTAAAACCCAACATCTTTAGATTGAAGAATTTATGAGGAGAGTGGCTTTCCAGCGTGACTTTCCTTTCCTCCTTCCTTTGGTGTCCTGTTTCCCATATCCACAAGGGGTGTTCAGCTCTGACGTTCACTCCCTCCCTAACTCCTACCCCAGTTGTGCTGTAGCCAAGTCTCACTTCTGCTCACAACAGCCAGTGTTTTTCCTGAAGCCCTGTAATGTATATGTAGTCTGGGGCTCGCATGTGCCCTATTGGCTCACATACAAAAATTTTCAGAAGACAGATGAGTTCTTAGCAGTTCTTTGAGGCATTATATAGGCAATCTGGATATCACTAAAAACCCATGAAAAGCATGATTTTTTTTCACTGAATGTAAAATTTCAGCTGTTAATCACTAACAGATATGCAGGCTGTAATTTTTTGGAAGATTTGTAACTTGGCCCCAAGGCTCAAATTTTCATATGGAGGAATCAATCATTGTATCATTCTCTTATGATGTTGTCCCTCTCCTGTCAGACTTCTACTCCCTCCTTTGAAACACAGAAAGCTTAGTTAAGGGAATTGTCATCAGAATATTCAGTGCAAATTAAACTTCACAACACACATCCTTATCTCATTTGCAGAAATCATGAAGATACTGGCTAAAGTGGTTCCAAAAATTTCAACTTGATGCAGATACCTTATATAGTAAAAAAAAATTTAAAAACTCAGACCAAAATATAAAAGTTCAAACGAGTTATAGGTGAATGAAAGCAGGACTATCAGAAGCGACATTTTAGGGAATATACAATGCTACCAGACTTACCAAGAAGGAGTAAGGTGGACTTCAAACAGCAGAACTCCATTAGGGAAAGATCAGACCATTTTTCCTTCTACATTTCATAACCTTAGACAGTAAATCACCATTTCAGAGGAACTATCTGCGTTCTTCCCGTAATACTATTAATTATTTTTCTTTAAGGAAAAAGAGCAAAACCCCAAACCTTAGCTGATTATAAATGAAACCATTTTAGCAAGAAAAGGATTTAAAGAGGTTGGACTCATCTTAAAAAATATCCTGAGGAAGTTGATGGTGACTGGCTATACAATGAGGTCTCGAGCTCCTTGACTGATTATTTTATTTCTTTTTCACAGGTGGAGTGGTAGTAAAATATTTGAGAGGGTAGCTGAATATCGCTAAGATTATTTGTTGTTTCAATCTAATTAAAAGCAGATAACATAGAAAGTTACTGGGAAGGAGAAAGCAGGTAGGAAATCTTAGTTGGGTTGGGAACAAAAAGCTAAAAACTTGAGCTGGAAAATCCATATTCTTTCTCTTCTTTGGCACCAGGTCCTCATCTGCCTAGGAAGCTTAATTCTTTTGGTTCACTTTCACCAGCTAAGTATAATGCTAATCTGTAAGATTTTGTAAACCTCTATGTAACTGCTGAAAAATATAATCTTCTGATATATTTAATATGAAATTCCTCATTTGTTTTAGATTGTGTAACATTTACCAGTTCTCTTTGTTCATCTCTAAGACATCTTTGATTTAAGTAAATATGCCAACACCAGTGTTTAACTTTAGGATTTGTGCATCTGAAAATGCAGTTGTGTTGCTGTAACATCTTTTCAGAGTACAGAGGAAAAAGTTGCTATGTAATATTTAAAGGAACATGAAACATAGAAAAACCTCTCTCAAGAAAAAGGACTAGAGAGAGGGAAAAGAAAATAATGACCATTGTTGTTGTGACCAGTGCCCCATGACCTGTACAACTACCATATTGAAGCTCAGGACTTGAAATTAGAGGCAGTAGCTTAGTGTTTAGTGTTTCTTGACTGATTCTCAACACCTTAGTTTTGTAACCACTTCTTATATCCATAGCTGAACAAGTTGCACCACTGAACCCTGCCTCTGATTATTATTTGGGCAACATTTCTTCTGTTACTTTTGTCTTGTGGGAAAGCCTGGCATAATTCTACATCCTATTACTTGCTTGGTGGAAAGGCAGGAAGGCTACAGTTTTACCTGTTTTCAGTGTGGGTGCTGCTGCAGTTTGGTAGAAAAAATGATCCTTGGCAGGAGTTTTGAAAATGTACCCCATGACTTTCAGTATTTTGGGTCAGTCACTGATTCCAGTGAATATTTTCTATATTCTGTCCCAGAGCCTCTGAGAAGTGCAAGTCTGGAAAGA